ATGCACAGTAGTAAGGAATCAGAAGTGTGTTACATGTATCTTGGTTATATGCATCAGAGCAAATGAATGAGAAAGCAGAGTCTTCATGTCCATGATTCTTTCTTGCAAACAATATGTGCAACAAGCAGGAGATCATCATGCAAATGGGTGATGCATATACTTACCTTGAGGTGCTTGATCAATTTCCTGAAGAAATACACTTGAGAAAACAGGGTTACATAACACAAGATAAAATCTTCAAAGAGAATAGATACAAGACCATCAAGAATACCAACATTGGGATGACATGTATAGAAAAGAGTATCACTAGGCTAATACTTCTTTAGGTGCAACCATGTCCCCAAAAGATCAAACAAGATTTGCAATAGAGTTCCAAGGATTTTTCTCCCCTAAACTTGAGCTTCCTCTCCCCCTGAATCTTTAGAATTTGATATTGGGAGTAGGTAGGGTAAGATAAAATCAAAGCATAAATCAGAGCAAACACAAGTAACAATAGAGCACATAAATAACTTGATCAACTAGGATCAAAAACATGTTTCTCCCCTCTTTAGAAACATGCAGGATCATCTCCTCTTATAAAATGCATCTCTCTCTCCCTTTAAGATATTCCTTTTTATAGAAGAGATTTGTAAATGAGCTTTGGTGTGCATATCTCTCCCCATTTGACATCAATTTCCAAGAAGGGTTAATATCAAGGATGTTGATCAAGAAGGCATGGTCCTCGAGAGGCGCAACTAGCTATGATTTAGCTTCAGATGCAGGCAGAGGGAAACAATCATTGAGTGGAGCTAGAGAAGAAAGAATCAAAGAAAAGTTTAACAGAAATTTCTTTATGCAGTGACACCGGTGTCTCCAAGAAGGATCAGTCGGTGAGTCTATGTTGGAGATGACACGGACTGATCACATCAGTGGATCTGAGTTTGTCCTCTTCGATTGAACCGATGAACATATATGCAATGATAAATTGCATTTTGGTGAAGCCGATGTGATTCTATTCGGAAGTACCGAGTTCAAGGCAAAGAGAAGGTTTTGTCAACTCAGCTCACTAGACAAATAGGCTCTCACAAAGATTTGCATTGAATTCTAATAGAATTTACAATGAATTGATTTGGGAGAAGAAAACTGGCTAAGAAAAAAAAGAGCATCTAGATGGAGTTTTTTTATGGAAGGGGATAAAACAACCAAATGCAACGAGAAAAAGAATCTAAAAGAGACACTAGGAACTTCATCTGGAAGAGGGTCGGCGACTAGGTCACCTAGGTCACCTATGTTAGAGTATATTCGTTAAGCTCAAAATGGGGTTACCATTTTTCGTTTAAGCATTTCAATGTATGCACCTCTTGTGGAGTTGCTTTGGTTCATGTCTTTGAGTAAAACTTCTCTAAGATGTGAAGACTTACATTGGGTTTTGGTGTTGACTCCCATCATGTAGTTGAACTTGTAGTGGATGCTCATGGAGTGAGGTTGGGAGCAATCCTTTTCGTTAGTAGTTCATCTTCCTACATGGGTTAGTCTTGCAAGGAACATGTATATCCAAAATGACAAGAGTGGAATATGTAGTCAATTAATGTCAAAGGATATATATGTTTGAGTTGTCTTGCTCCTTGGGCACACCAAAAATAAAGATACTTGGTCCAAATTTGTTTGCTTCGAGATAGGACTTTGAGAGCAAACTTGTGGAATGATATATATCCAAATACCTACAAGGGGTTAGATGCAATACAAGGGAGCAAAAGTATCCTAGATATGATATAATCATTATAAGAGAATTATCAATGATTAGTCATAAAAGCCCATGCCCTTGCATGCATCCAAGTGAGTTTCTAGTTCACGTTGGAAGCATCAATGATGGGAGTTCAGGTGTGACATCCCTGCCCGTGCTTCTCTCCAAGTAGTCGATTATTTTATTCTAGTATTTGTTTTAAAAGGCAAACAGGTAGCTGAAATTAAGATATACTCCCTCTGTTTCTAAATATAACTCTTTTTAGAGATTTCGGTATGAGCTTCATACAGAGCAAAATGGGTGAATCTATACTTTAAGATGCATCTACATATATCCGTATGTGGTCCATAATAAAATCTCTACAAAGACTTATATTTGGCATAATTTGCGCAGCCACCATGAATCTACGTATACATGGTACATGCACCGCCGTAAAGAAAACGTGGAATTAGCACGTACCCCATGAAATCGACATGCATGTGGTGTCTCGAGCTAGAGTGCTCCGCAACGCCACGCTAGCGTTGAGAAAATAAAGAGAAAAAAGCGTCGGCACGTGTCTCGTTCAGATTAGTTCATGTCCACGTGCGGCGAGTGCCGTGGGAACTGGCTGAACCCGAAAAATGTACCGCGAGGAGTAGCTGTCTATGGCAGTGTAGTCTGCCCCGCACCCCGACCCGGAGGCGCCATGCGTGGCGCACGAGGACGATGACAACGTGGCCGTTTACTCCGGTGGGCGGTGGCGCGAGGCAAGTGGAATGGACAATTCATCGCCCCGTTTACTTGCTTAACCGGCGGCTTCCCGTCCAACTCGGGCACGCGCGCGCAGCCGCAGCCCGGGAGATTTGATCGATCGGTGCCCCGCGTAGCCGCAGCGGCAGCCGAATCTGCGCGCACTGGCATGTGCCGGTCGCGGTCACCATCGCCTGCCGTGGCTTCTCCGGCAGAGACGACGAGACCGAGCACCTGGAAGCTCCGGGTCAGGTGCTCGGGGCCGTGGACGACGACGACGACGATGGAACGCTGGACCCTAAGTATTTGTGACTTGTGAGCTCGATCGGCTCCCGCTTTTGTGGTGTAAAAATTCTGCATGGTACGTGTTTGCTTGCCCGCTAGGGAATTCTCTCTCTCGTCGACCACCACGTACATGAGCTTAAGCTAAGATATTTCATGCCATTGGCCATACGGAGGAAGGTTCTCGTCACGTCACCTATCCCCCTTCGCACTGCTTCTTGCATATCGTCAGCAAAATTAACCGGATGACGATCGCTGTGGCAACTGGATACACAGATGACAAGAACAATTACTAAATAAAATGATGTGGACTAAATTATTAAAAACCACGAAAACGGTAGTAACAGTTTGCAAAAAACACGAAATCCAGTAAGGCCTCCTTTGGTTTAGAGGAATTTCATAGGAATTCTAGAGGATAGGATTCTTATTGGATTTTTTTCCTTTAGAGCTCTTTGGTTCATAGGAATGGATTCCTATTCCTACATAGGATTGGTTCCTATCCTTCACATTTCATAGGAAAATAAAAAAAAGCCTAGACTCAATGGAAAAATTCCTTTGGTGTCAACCAAATGACATCTTGTTTTCTATTCCTACTCATAGGATTTGAGATACATGTTATCTTATTTCCTACAAGATTCCTATTCCTATGATAATCCTATCCTATGAACCAAAGGAGGCCTAAAAGAAATATAGCCAAAACCACTAACTGCTCGGTTGGCTGTGTTTTGACACCGGATCTGACCGGTGGGGTCCATTCTCAATGCTCGGTTGGTTGACCCGTCGGAGCCGATAGCTGGCGCGGGGCACACACTGTAGAGGCGGCAAAGAAGCGCCGTCTAACAGCCGTTTGCACGGGCCATCAACCACTGCCACGTTTACCCTAATAATGGCTCCCACATGTCGAGTTTTCCGATTCATATTTCGTCGACCAATCCTTTATAATTTACATTTTTGTTAAAAAAAAATCCTTTGTAATTCACTATCAAACACGATTAATCGGCCTTTTAGTGGTTCTGGGGAAAAAATGTTGCTAGATTTTGGTGATTTTTGTAAATTGTTGGCGTTTTGATGGCTTTCCACGCTACTTCACACAATTATGGTGGTTTTCGGCAGCTTAGTGTCTGCTGTCAGGTTGTGTTATGAGATACAGTAGTATATTCCGCAAAAAGAAAAAAGGCTGTGTTTATGAGATATTCCTTCGTCCTTTTCGAGAGCGGTTGAGGATGCAGCAAAGGTACGAAGCTCGATCGTGAGCGTCGTGCGTGGGAATGCGACGGAAGTGGCTGCGTTGGGCCAGTGTACCTGCCGTAAGAGTCCAAGATGAGATGAGATAAGATTAGGCGTTCTTGTTAGAGCTTTACGAACAGAACAAAGTACGGAGTCGTTTTCGGGCCGGGTCACGTACGCACGCCAGTGGCCGATGCAAGCCTCTTTCCAAAAGGACGACTCTCAATCTGTGGGCTTGAATTCGCAGGTCGGACGAAATGCTCCCTTCTCGTTTACACACGAAATTTACATGACAGGCTCCATTTTTTTAGAGAGACAAACTGTAAATTTTGCCAGAACCAGCTGTGTCAAATCAAATAGATCATTTTGCGCCTTTTTCGCAGTAGGCATATGGAGGATGGAAAATGAACTACGAAATCAAAGAACTCTATCTGTATATTTCAACTCCCCAGACCCAGTCGCATGAATTATGTGTACTCATTTACATACCAAATTTACATGACACTTACTCCCTCCGTTCCTAAATATAAGTCTTTGTAGAGATTTCACTATGAACCACATACAGATGTATATAGATGCATTTTAAAGCGTAGATTCATTATTGCTCCGTATGTGGTTCATAGTGAAATCTCTCCAAAGACTTATATTTAGGAACAGAGGGAGTAGAATATTTTCCAGAACAGACCCTGCTGGGTCAAATCAAATGGACCATTATGCGCAAAAAATAAATCAAATGGACCATGTTTTGCATTATAGAAGCCCTTTTTGACACTATGGACCATACTCTCCCCATGTTTGCCAGAGGCCGGGGTAGTCCCCTTTTCGACAAGAAAAAAAAAGAGCTATTGAACTACTACCACCCCCCACCCCCTATCAATTTTCCTTCATTTTGCGTACTTACAAAATTCACAACAACTTCATGTATTTACCAGCCATTTTCCCATGATATGCACTATAATCTCTTTCACTAAGCAGTTACTTTACATACAAACATTGGCAAGTCAACGTCGCACAAAATCAAGAAGAAACCAGAAAAACGCTATTGGGACGGTCTCAACAGGCTACCTGACGCAGACAGGCTTCTAACTGCAACTCTTACAGCACCAACAGCACCGAGCTGCCATACCTCAGGGGTCAACCCACTAAAATCATGCTTCGCGCTCTCATCAAGGTGAACCCACACATGAAATGCGACCTGCACAATGTGATAATTAGTCCAACTTTTTTCCAAAATCAGACTGCTACATTTCGAACCCATCCAACTTAAGCTCAAAAGAACAAGAATCCCATAAATTGTATTTTCCACTTGAAAGGTCAGAAGACACTAAGCACATAATTTAGGCTTGCTACAGAAGTACTTTTGCTGCATTTAGTATTCAGTTTCAGCGTTACTAGAAAAGCAAGGCAGATGAATCAGAAGCACAGTGACTTCCAGGAAAGACCTGAAAAGGATGTAAGCCAACCTTGCCCGATGAATTTCGGATGGGAGACACATGTAGCAGGTCACGGAATGTACTTCCGTCTTTCCTGATAGGAAGCATAACAATTAAGAGTTCTGTTAAGTTGTTTACATAATCTAAACCTGATAACTACTAAATTAAGATATTATGCAAATGCGCACCTGTAATTAAGCAAATGCACTGTGCAAGCCTCCTCACGACAGATATGCCGATTTATCTGTGCATTCAATTTCAAATAGGAATTTGATAAGTGAGCATATTTGACAAGGAAAATTGCAATCAAACAAGCTCGGAAATCCTGGTCCGCACCTCCTCTAAAACCTCCGCACTAGTACCTGGACCGTTTAAGAATCTGCAGTTACAGCCCAATATTTCTTCTCTTGAGTAACCTGGATAAGTAAGATGATTAGAACAGCAGAAACCTTTGCCTGCATACAGACAATCTTTTCAAGGTCAATCTTTGCCCGCATTATCTGTATGTTTTAGCAAAGAGATACAATTATTAGATCTTTCTAACCATACTCTATGACTTTCACATTTTCCTACTCATACCCAATATGTAAACACCATGAAGTCATTGAATTGATGCTATGACATCCCGATGGCACCACCTTGCATTGTTTATCATCATTTCAGAAGGTAGTTCCAAATCCAACCCATCAACCCTGCCCAGCTTAACTCAAGAACCCGCCAGGATTCAGCACGTTGCAAGCAGCTATATATGTTTCTCATATGTCAGGAAGAGGTTTTCTTTTGCATTTCTAACATAATGTTAGAAAGTAATTACAAATGCTACACATCAATCATGCCCATATGAACTCAAGAACATGTGGAAAGTCAGCCTGTTGCACTTCAACTAATATATGCATTTCATAGGAGAACATCCCAGCAAACATGCCAAAAAACAAGATGTCCCACTATCCCTAGATCATAAAAAAGTTTCAGCCACTTGAGCTAAGAGGCCTCAAACTGTCGAAATGCGGAAGTAATACTGATCATAGACAGCTGCACATCATATATTCCCCTTATTACAATCAATGGATTACTTTATAAAAGTTCATGGAACACATACTCTGGTATTTAGAATAATAAAGGAACATGTACCTGTTAATGATAGAAAGGCATCACTAGCATAGACTATCGGCATGTCAGGCAAATGGCGGTCAGTTCTGTTAAAATCGAAAATCAAAGTGCATTTAGTAAATAAGCCAGGCATGAACAACATAAATAAGACTATGAACACGACAGAATTAATCCAAGACAATTAAACAAATGAACAAGAATATGCAAATAACTCACAATACAAAGCTCTGTTTGATTCTACCGAGGGAGAGATTTAAGGAAGAGCTGAGTGCTGGGATACCAACAGAATCACATCTCCTCTCACAAACCACCAAACCAGTTAGTTTGCTATAGCGGTTCAGTGTAGAGAAGATGCTGTTTGCTGTGCTTAGAGCCATCTCTTTGTCACAGCCGCTAGCTATACGCGGTTCCTCAGCCTCCAGCCCTGCAACATTAAACTAGCAACAACATATTTAGAACTTCTGCTTCCAGTACTACTTAATTTTGTGGGGAGAAAAACATAATGTGAAAATGCCAGGTTAAGTATAAACCACACATCCAAATAGGCAGAAGGCACCATATTCTGCAAGACTGGACTCAATGAACTAACATGACAGTATTAATATATAAGAATGGAAACTCAGGCTAGATTGGTGTGTTGTTTCGCTACCTAAACTGAATCTTCATTAAGAGAGCGAGCTCAATTTCCGACACGGTTGCACCGCTAAATACTCCCTCCATAAAGAAATATAAGAGCGTTTAGATCATTAAAGTAGTGATCTGAACACTCCTATATTTCTTTACGGAGGGAGTACTACAGAACACATGCATATATTTCGAATAGATGTATTTATCGTACGATTCGGATTCTTACCACTGAAAGGAAGTTTTATTTCTTACACATATAGCAACTCTAGTATGCATAGGGTTGCCCTGTTTGAATTTGATGTAAATTTTGTGTGCTGCCCGGTATTTAGTTCAAACTTGAGCTAAAATACCAGGGATCCCACTAATTTTACACTCAATCCAAGCGGGCCTTGGTCTGCCCCGTCATTACTCTAAACCTACAAAAGCAGGATGGATCTCTTTTTTTTGGCCTATTAATGTGTGAACTTCTATCCTGTAAGCAAAAACGGATGTTTCTGTCAAGACCGGTTTAACAAATACAGTCTGTTCAGTAACAAAGAAAGCATCATGTATGCAGCATTCAAACAAAAATATTACCAACTCAAACAAGAACTTTTACCTACTTCTTCTTGTCTCCATACCTGGAAATGGTAAAAGAAACAAGACTAGTGTAACCATTATTGTCAAACTTGGAACCAAGAAGGAACTAACAACTCAAAAAGGCCACATAGTGAGCAGTACTTACGAATAAGACAACCAGCGCAACTGTAATTATCATACCATGAATATGGAAAGAAATTATAGCAAATAAGGCCATGTTGATGGCCAATCGTATACATATCTTGTTTACCGCATACATTTCATATCAAGGCACGGTAGAGCAGTGAGGCACGGGGTGCTGTAAATGATCTCGCTGGCAATTAATGGTTGGTCCACTGATCAGTGTGGTTATTATCGTGCAATTTACTCCCAAATGATCACTGTACTAGTGATGGTAACAGATGAACACGTCCAATCGAACTGACCTCTCTTATCGATATCCACAAACACCTCCCCTACGTGGCTGGCGCAAGGCAGCTCCTCCTCGCCCCTGGCCTCCTCCCGGCACGCCGCGAACGCCGGGGGCCGGCCCGGGTGACGGCGCGGCGACGACGCGGGGGCGATGGGCACCTGGACGGCGAGGAAGTGGAGCACCCGGCCGTCGGCGGCGTGGAAGACGGGCGCGAGGTGGAGCAGCACCCAGTGGGGCGAGCCGTCGCGGCGGTAGTTGAGGATGGCGACCTGGTGGGCGCGCTGGGCGCGCACGGCCTCGCGCACGCCCGAGACGGCGGCGCGGTCGGTGGCGGCGCCCTGGAAGAGGCGCGCGTTGCGGCCGAGCAGCTCGCGGCGCGGGTAGCCCGTGAGCGCGGCGAGGCCCCGGGAGGCGTAGACGATGGGGTGGCCCGGCATGGCCGGGTCCGTGAGCAGGAAGCTCCCACGCAGCTCGTCCAGCTCCTCCAGCACCCACTCCGAGTACCGCGCCGTCAGCGACGCCGCCAGCCGCCGCTCCTCCCCCTCCATCGCCCCGCCGGGAAGGGGCCGGATCGGTGGCGTGATCGGCGCGGGGCGCGGGGGAGGGGGAGGAGAAAAGATCTGCGCGGGTGGAGGGGGGGCCGCGCGGG